AAATCAAGGGTGATGGTCTGCTACCTGCAATGCTATAAGCACTAGTAATGCCAATGACCCTGAGTCTAAAAACTCATAATTTAAGCTCATGATAAGCATTGGGCGTACACAGACAAAATTACATGCCAAAGAACCACAGTTTGCACAGAGAGCAGCACTTTCAGCTCATTACCTGCTGTTGTCCAGGAAAGCTAGGTGAAAACATGCCAGCTGCAAGGAGAAAACAAAATTCTCCATATTTGAACAGGTAACACCCACCCAGGGATTTCTTCACTTCAGTGTGGAATAAACAGCATGTACACCTCATGCTGCATCCCCAAAACATGCAAATATAATTCTCTTTAATGGAGCTAAACCACCAAAATCCTTACAAATTGAGCTTGAAAACTGTTCCTACTATTAGAAATAGCACAATAAAGTGACATCCAAATTTGGCTGTGCGGCCAATGCAGCTTCTTTTATGCACAGTGCGTTATGTTGTGTCCTGAAACACACTCAGAAAGTGGGGAGAACGTCTACAGTTTTTATCAGTTAATGTTTCTGCGGCATGTCTATCTATGCCGTGCTGTGCATGTGCAAAATGGTCCAACAATGAGTATACATCAGCAAACCACTTCCAAACAGCAATGAGTTACCTACAGACGTGGCCAGATTCAGTCCAGACCGTCCTGCTCCTGCAGCCCTGCACCAGCGCCTGCGGGCTTTCACTCCCTTGCCTTGGTTTGGAGGGGCAGCAATGGGATTGTGCCCTCCTGAGAATGGGGAAACCCTAGGAAGTTGTCTCCCCCTCGTCCCCCACATCATGGCAGGGACACGGGAAATGGAGGAGGAGACACCTGTTGGCTGGTGGAAAGCAGAATACAGAAGCAGCTCAGAAACACTTGATTGATTTTACAGCACCCACCCACCTGCCGGGGACATACTCTGCCTTCTCCCCACACCTTGCTTGATGGGCTGCTCTGCCCCGTCCTGGGACAAGTACCAGCACAGGGTGGTGTGTAACAGCCTCTCCCGCTGTTCTGAGTCAGAACCTGCAGCGCTGTAAGCACAGGTCAGCCAGTCCCTGCTTCCAGCCTAGTTATCAATGGAGAAGTTTGGGCTCGCTCTCTTTTTTTCTGTCTGATCCCTAATCGAAGGAACCTCCTGCAGATTTAGCCATTACAAAACTGTACCATGACATTTGTCCCTGCCTGGAGAGGATCACTCAAGTCCTAGACCCTGTCAAGCCAGGCCACAGGAGCTGGCTGGCAACTGTAGGTGGAGATTCCTCCTCCTCCTCCTCCTCAGGACACGCTGACGTGGTGGCACCGGGCTGGTGCTGCAAGAGTGAATCCCCACCTCTGCAGGAGTGGTGCTTCCCAGACAAAGGCAGGCCTGGGAACTGCATGCAGGCACTCCTCACGCTACACAAACTTTGAAAGGAAAAGCAAACTTGAGTTTATTTGACTAAACTGCTTAACAAATCAGCACCTGTTTCTTGGAGGAAGAAAGGGAGAATGAGTTAATACACCAAATACTTTTGAGATGAGGTGACCTTTACCTTTTTGACAGACCTTTGTGATTGTTTCCTGGTTCCCTCCAGGCAGCAAGCTCCCCTGTCCAGTTAGCCCCAAAGACAACTTAGACAGCTCTCTGGGAGTAGGGTGCAACCTTTTGGATAAACTTTATCCTTTGGCTTTTCTTTCTTTGAGAGGAGCATGAAACTTGTGGTGAAGTTCTACTTTTTATCATGCTCTCTGGATGGACATCTGCTCAGTGTAATTCTGCCTTTATTCTCTTCTGAACATCCATAGTAAGGTGTCAAGTTTTCATCCACTTACAGCCACAGTTGTCAAGGAATAGCCGTGAGCGGTTCTCTTGGTTGGGCAACTCCAAACAAATATCACAGCATAATGGAAATTCAAGAACCTCTCCTCTTGCTAGAAGTTAAGAAAAGTGTCATCACCTTGAAGGATATATGACCTTGCATCGATGCGGGTTTAATGATATCTCACTTCAGAGCTATTCATTACACAAGGACAATGAATGAAGCTCATTAGCAGTTTGATCCAGGCTAGATACAATGGCAGACAAACAACCATGGGGACAAAAGCACGTTTGAAGTGGATGAGCCCTAAACTCAGCACGCCAGGATGACAGACAGGACAGTCTGGTGGTGCTGGCCTTCTTAGTGGTTGTGCTTTTGTTCCCTGCTGCTAAGCGTGGCGAAGGAAAGGTTTCCCGAGTCTCTAGCTGACACTTCCTTAAAGCCTGTTCAGCCCCAGGTGCACAAAGCAACCTCTGCTACCAGGCAGCCAGATGGCTAGCTGCAATCCAGTCACTCTTTAATTAACTTCGGGTATTTTTTTTTTTCCTCTGTGGGTTGTTTATAGGAGAAAGGGAGCTGACAGCATGTTTGTTTACATGTGATTGATTTGGCCTGGCAGTTCCCTGGGTCTGTTCTGAGAATTTTGAAGTGTCTTTGAGTTTTGTTATCACCGTAAAAGGAGCAGAAGCTGAGAATCCAAGGGGATTTCTAGGATGTATCTGAAGAAGTTATGTAAGTCTGCAGGTTTACTGCAAATCATATGCAGATGGGCAGCACACAAAACAAAGCTGACGGGGACAAACTAATCTGAGCCCTTGGTTACTGGGCACTGTTGAGCTGCTGCAGTGATAATTAACTTTAAATACAACTACAACAAACACTGACCTGCAAGCAGTTCCTCTAAACCCAGTGGAGTTGCTTGAGTGCGTGAAGTTACACAACATACATAAAGCAACTGTTGGATGCAAGGTTCAAGATGTACCCTTCTGCACGGAAAAAAATGCCAACCAGCAGCATCATAGGTACTGCTGTATCTATCTATAGATTAAAAAATCTATAGTATAATTAAAAAAGCAGAAGGGAGTAAGGAATCTACATTAGGAGTTAACAACTAATATGTCCAGGTATAAAACTACACAGGTAGAAGGAGAAAAATATTTAAGTAGCAGACCAAAGATAAGTTTACCCTGCGATCCAGAGAGATGACACAGCTTTTACATGTGTTAACTAGCTGCCCTTAGCATTCAAGCTGCGGTGGCAGCACGTATGTAATATTCTGCTGAGACTCCAGCTAAATGCCAAGCAAGGCAGCAAGTGTCACGCTCCCATCTTGCTACAGAGGACAAAAGTATGGTCTAGAAAAGAGCAAGCTGTTATCAGCTCACCATGTCTGTACAGAGGGCAGAAAGGCTTAGAGAGGAAGGAGGCAGTAAGTAATAAAGGAAAAAGGATTATGAAATATTTTTTCCTTCGGAAGTCTCAAGTCTGGAAGGCATAAAGTGCTGAAGGAATGGGGATACGTGAGAGAAGAAGTGAAGGAGAGTAGTTTTGAATCAGGATGGTATTATATGTAAAAGATGAAGCACACTGCCCACATGTCACTGAAGGGAGATCTCTCTAGGTGAAGAACTTAATTATTTAGTGGCCACGTTCCTTCTAACATCGGAGCATTTTGCAAAGGGACAAATGATGTACATCTCACAAGCTGTAATTTCACTGCAGAGATAAAACAAGGGCAGGGCTGGGGCAAAAACATGCCTGGAAAATCACAGAGGTGCACGCTGCTATTTTGCATCAGGGATTGTTTTTTAAATTATTATGTGTTGAGTCCTATCCCAGATGAACAAACAGAGCCCTCCCTCTGGTGGCAAGTAAAAAAGACGCAGCAATGACTTTTTACAGTCACATCAATCTAGGGCTACAAATGAAACAAAGAGCATCAGACAGGACCTATTTTTTATTAGGTCAACTGATACTGCTGGGAGAAAAATGAAAGACAATTTTGCAAAACACAAATCCTTTTTCAGGACTTACATAGAATTAATTACCTCGAAGGATGATAGAACTTGAGAATAGTTGCCGAGTTCAGTTTCATTGTTAACTTATTAGACAATTTGCAAGAGAGGCAGAGGACAAAACCTGAAACATAACTTTTAAGTAGCTGAGCAGGGTAAGTGTACTGTGCAATAATTCCATTATTTCCACTGAATCTTTGTCTTTTAGTGCCCAATTGATTGAGTTTTGGTGTCTAAAATCCCTTAAGGGCAGACTGGTCTGGAGGGTAAAAATCATAACGCTACTGAACAGTAAAAATTGACTCAGCAGATAAGTTGGGTTTATCATACACAATAATTCTCCCAACTAATGTCCTCACATAGCTCTTTAAAATTTATCTGTAGGAAATTATCTCTGTTTGTTACATGAGGTTATGACAGGTGCCTTCTGGACAAGATTCTTTCCTTTAGATGACTGGTTTGGTGGATGAGGGGAAAGCAGTAGGTATTCTTCGTTTTGGCTCTACCAACGCTTTTGACCCTGTCTCCCATAGCATCACCACAAACAAACTGATGAAGTACAACCTAGATAAATGGGCAGCAAGGTGGATGGAAAACTGGCAGAATTGCTGTGGAGTAGCCCTGGGTTTGATACTCTTAACACTTTCATTAACAACCTGGATGAATGCACCAAATCCATTCTATGCACACTGGCAGATACAAAACCAAGAAGAGTAGTTGATAACCAGACGGTTGCGCTGCTCTTCAGAAGGGCCCCAATGAGCTGGAGAAATGGGCAGGGAGAGTTGTCAGGAAGTTCAAGAAAGGGAAATGCCAAGTCCTTCACTTGGGGAGGAATAATCTGTGCACCAGTACAGGCTGGAATGCACCCTTGTGGCAAAGGCGGCCAACAGCATCCTGGGCTGCATTCGCAAAACCGTTGCCAGCAGATGGAGAGAAGTGATTTTTTCCCCCCCTCTATTTTTCTTTTCAGTTCTAGTAGATAAACACTAGGTATTACCTTACCCTCATCCTTACAGGTAGTATAAGAATGGCTGAATTGTAATTACATGGAAAAACAACTGTTGTCTTCTAATTATAAAAAGGAGAAACCCACTGCAACACAAACAAAAATATATCCCCCTCAACCTTTTAGAATGGAAAGCTATGCCCTTTACCACAAAACACTGTCTGCAAGCTTATGTTTAAAAAGGTTTAATTTTCCACTCTGGTACAAAAATACAGTACAATGTGATGACAAGGCATTCGCCAAAAAACATTCAAAGAATAAAAGGGGAATCCCTGTAAAGCTTCAACGTAACCCACCCTCACTTGATAAAACAATTAAAAGGTGAGTGCACAAGGAAGAAGTTAAAATTTCTGCCCAAAGGCAAATAAAGGTGAATCACACAGAGTTTTGCACAGAAATGTGTTTGCAGAGCTAATGATTTCACATGCTACTTGAACATTCATGAAATTTATTCTACTTGGCTTAGTCGCAGAATTCATGTTTTGGGATGTTTAGAAAATACCTGGCCCAGGAACACGCCCCATTCATAGGAATTTCCAGTAAAAAAAAAAAAAAGGATAACATAATATCGGCGAGAAAAGAGGGATCCAACCCTGATTAAGTGTCAAAATGTTGGCTGCTACTAGTTATTCCAATCACACTGTCCTCAAATGAATGTTTTGCCCTACACGTCTCCCTTTTAACACCAAATATTAGTGGTTGCTCAAACACAAAAATCGATGTGTTTGCATGTTACCTAGTTGCAAATAACCATTACAGTACAAACTGCCAGGCAGAGGAGATAACGTGGTAACTGATGCATGTGTGTGAAATCCAAATAGGGTTTAACCTAACATTGTTGACAGGAGAACTATGTCCCTCCAGTGCATCTACATTCTTGGTCTGTTTAATCATTTCCTTTTAGAGTTTTGAAGTGATGGAAAAAGCATCATTGAGTGTGTTCATTATAGTTCATCTCCCAGGTGTTTTTGTTTGAAAGCATCACCTGTCAGCTTCTCCTGGGCCTCCTTCATCCCTTGGACAACTGAAAGATTAGATAGAGAGACAGCAACTATTAATCTCCAGATGAAAACATCAAGGTGGACTGATAATAGAAGTGTTCCAAAACAACTGAGGTAGAGAATGTAGATCTAGCTGCAGGAATAAAAGCAGTCCTGCAGCCTCTTCCCATCCATTTGTAGCTGGATCATGCAAATCACATGATTTTCCATGTCACAGCTGGAGACAAAGTTTAGGTCCTATAAACATTATAGTAGGTATTACGGTGAATCTTGATTCTGAATACGATTCCTCAGGTCGTAAGAGAAACACATGGTATTGAACAGCTCCCAGCTACGCTGTGAAGCATTATAATTTTTCTCCACTCAGAAGTGAAGGCGTGTACTTCACTCAGGAAACACCCAGAGCTTCATCTCACTAAAAACACACTTCAAATTACTTTGCACATACCTTGGTCGGCATTGGTATAGAAATACTTGTAGCTGGGGTTTCCTTTCTCATTTATGATTTCTGGATGGACTTTTCCACTGGGGTCTATGAAACAAGAAATAAAACAGGAAATTTAGGTGGTAGTGGTATGAACATCGTCCTATGAGAAGATACAACAGCTGTGTATACCCTACCCATGAAAAGGATTCTGGGAATGTAACCTCCATCAGGACTAAAGGCTTCATCCTTTGGCTCTTCATCATCCTACCGAACCAAGGCAGAGGAAAGGGAACACATTAGCAAGGCATCTAAAAGAACACAGCACTCATTTTAAAGAAACAGTCTACTGAATTCAGATTCCATTTACCCTGAGCAATTTACATCTTCAACGGACACTAGGTAACTGCACTATTTCCACTCTCCAAAGAAAGATATTTTTACTTAAGCAAGTATAATTTGTGAAAATATTTTTTTCTGTTAATTTGCATTAAATGCTCCTCTTTGGTGTAGGAATGTTTGGTATGTCATGAGAGAATGAATATAAATTCCTTTATTGAGGCAACAGAATGACACAAGGTACAAATTCTTAAGGAGACAATGGCAGAGATCCAGGCTTATAAACACAAAATAACCAGACTGAAAAAACTTCCTTCTAAACCAATCAGCTACATCAATCAATCCTGAAGAGGTGTGCAGGATTTAGTATATACACAAAATAAGATGCAATCAGTTAAGTAGGATTGCAAATGCTTAATTACTAGGCAGGAACATGGATACAAACCAGAGGGCAGCCTACCTCAAGGTTGACCATAACAAAATTGTGGGCAAGTTCAGAGATCTCCTTGGATTCAGCAAACTTCGGCTTTAAAGCTAATTAAAGGGAGAGGAGGGGAAAAAAAAAGAAGTGTGTGACGACAGCAGAAGAGATTTCAGATTTTTGGCACCAAAATCTCAACCTGATTCCTCCCTCTGGAGAGCTGGCAGTTTTCAGTAAGCAGTGAGTAAATGGAGTACGTGTAACAAGCCAGGCTCAGGGCAGCTGGCCACTGAGGCAACCTTTGCTGGGCTGCCGTATGGTGAAACCTGTCCAACAGACATCATATCTGAACCAATGCAACAGAAGTAGAAAGCTCGCTGTAAACCGCTGTTCTCATCCAACCAGCTCACCCTTTCAGCTTAGCCATTAAGCCCAGCTTGTCTGTGAGACTGAAAAAGACAAAGCCCCACCTTCGAAGAACCACCAACTGAAAGTAAGGCAATTTACACTTAATTCTTGAAGATCATTCATTCTGTTCCATTTTTCATAGCCAAGAGCAGGACAAATCACAGCCACTACAGGTGTAGTATTACAGCTGTTATTTTGCTGGAAATTTAGGCATGGCTGGCTTTTGGCAGTGCTTAACAGGTAAAGTGGCGGGATGTTACACTGCTCTAAATGAAATACAAATACCATTAGCTACATTTTAAATGCAAAGTTCATGTTTGACACAGTTAAATGGTTTGTACACAACAGTTCATTAGAAATTTCAGCAAGCTCTAGTATTAAATCCACTTACCTTTGCAAGCTCCACACCAAGACTTGTGGATAATAACCATAAGAGGCAAGCCACTAAAAAAACAGAAGAAAACTGTCAAAGAAAGCTTGCAGTTGGGTCTCTAAACAAAATTCCATTCATGTAATTTTAACAGACTTCTAAAAGGCCACACGTAACACAAGATGAGATGAAAAGAGATTCTGCTGTGTTCTAAGGCTCTCTCGCAAGAAGTTTTCCCCACCTTAAAACATGTATAACAATAATTTATTAGGACTGCCAGCCAATAACTGCTCGTGTAGAGGAGGAGACTTTCTCTTTGGAAGATTTGTTCTTACTCCTTCAGATTTGCTCAGACAAACAACTGGTCAAGTGTTATTTTTACCAGAAGTAGTTAGTGACACCACCTCCTTGAGAGATACCAGGATGGATTTTCGTGGCTGCTTAAGGCAATCCAGTAGTTCAGTCACCTCCTGTGAGTGAACAGCTCAATTTTCTCTTACCAATAAACCCCTTCAGCTATGAAATAATGTAAGTTGGTAATGATTCAGCTTCCAGAACAGTAAGAACAACGTAACACTACACGCAGGAAAGAGGAATTTAGGCAGAACGTACTACATGGATATTTCTTTGAGGATATGCGAAGCAAAGCAAACTGTAAGATTTCTGCTACTATAAACTTGCTTACCCTATAAGGGGTTAAAAATAAAGTAAGTTTATCACACAGAGAAATTACACCTTTGCACATAGCGGCAACTAAATTAGTTACTAGCAGGACTGATGTAAGGGTGTTTCTTTAGCTGTAGATTGATACAAAAAGAAATCTCTACTCCAGCAGCATTCAGTTATGGCCTTCAGGAAAGGATGGAGAGGAAGCTATTAAGAGTAGTTCAAACAAAAGTCTGCCATTTATAACTAGCCAGCACATTATCACCGTCTTTACATAGTCTATGTTTGCAGTAAGGAGCAAGAATACATATTTCCCTAGTAAAGCTTGTATTGCATCAGCATCCTCTCCCTGAATATGAGATAGCACCTTTTATTTTTCATTGTTTCCACACATTCCAACATGATTCTGTCTCCTTGAGGAGAGGCTGATTTAATCTGGAAAATACACATTGCTCTTACTATCAAGGATCAGAGCTTCATGTCAGAAGAGTTCAATCACCTGGTAAATCAGTACTGCAATGCACTCTTTCTTCTAAGTTAAGAGAAAATTTCAAAGTAGATTTTAAACGGAAGTGTTTGCAGACTTGAAATATCAACCCTTAGTCAGTGAGAACTCACAGAAGTTTTAGAGGTACTGAACGTGTTTTCTCAGCTTTATTCTCTTAACTGGGGAAAGAAATTTATTTACATCAAAACATTTTTGTAGTTGTTTCTCAGTTCTGCAACGCACAGGCCCACGTAGCACCCCGTATGTCAGATAAATGGCCTCTGCTATTGAAGAAATCCTTCCTGCCCCACTTTACCATCTCCTCACAGGTAGCACTACAAATACAATTAAAACCAAAAGCCACAATTTATTAAAATTAGGGATGAAGCATCACCGGAAAGTGAAAAGTTTATGTAAGGTATAAATGTGGTATAGCAAAGACGAAAATTATTTGAAACCAAACACAAAACTAAGTTATCTGTCATGGCTGATACAGATTTATGTGAGAGTTTCACATGGAAAAGACACTGGTATTTCTGCTCATTTTTCCTATCAGGGCATTCACTTTTAAACAACCCGTGTTTTTAAAGGCATTTAATTATGACCTTGCAAAGACAGAACAAGTAATTTCAATAAAATGGTCCTGCACATAAATTAAGACTTTAGTCCATTTAAGGCACACATTTTATTGTTAAATCTGAAATAGAGACATTTGAGTTTGCTAAGCCATCACCCTTCTATTGCGCAGAGTTTACAAATCTCTCTCTTGCGTTCAGTACGGCCTTCCTGAAACAGTCACATCCTAAAAATAGAGCCTGTTCCATTTCTGGACCTGAAGCCTCTTCCGCAGTTTGACACTATCTGGAGACAGTCTTGGAAAACCAATCTTCGTATTTGAGACACAGGTACACATGCCAATGCAGACGGGAAAAGCTTTCCCTTTTGGGCTCTCGTGTTCAGACACTCTTTGATTGTTGGAGTTCAGACCTCCACAGACTTTACTCGCCTGGCGATGCAACAGTCGCTCTTCTTTTTGAAAGACGCAAGCAGGGAGGACGCAGGACAGCATCCTCTTAGCAATACAGCTCGCTCAGCCGCTGCAGGGAGGTGGCATTCCCCTGCCCAGAGCTGCTGCTGCTGCACAACCCGATTCGCAGCAGGCAGGACCCCAGCCCCGCGGGGTCTGTGGCTGGTGCGGGCACATCCTG